TCTGTGTAATTATAAAATATAATGTAGTTGCATTTACAAAGAATTAGCCATCCATTTGTGAGGTACGATGGGAGGAGGAATATGTCAGCATCTGGAGCGCTGAAAACTCCCTGGCTGTGTAACTGGAGTAAGGTTCAGTCTCAACTGCTGCTTTGTAAATTTCTCTAAAATCTGTAGCGCTCCCCTTCGGTGACAATGATATAGTCTGTCCTGATTTGTAGTGATTAGGCAGGCCTTATCTAATAATCAACCTACTATCTCCTCTCACACTTGCCAAAGATAGAGGATAGCTTTAAATATATTTAAGACACTCCAGAAGTTAAGATAAACTTCACTAAGATTATAATTCTTGTTTAAATTTGCTTTTTAATATGTCTCTTTGAAGAAATTGAAACAAAATGTGAAATGATTTAATTTCTAATATTCGGAGAACATAGTGGGTGAACACATGTCACTGTAATTATTTAAAACTGCATAAATAATATTAATTTTACATATGTTTTGGTGGTCTCGCTTTACAATGCAGCAAATGATTGAAGCTGGTGAGTTGTTAATATGTGTTTTGTTTTGTTTTGAAAAAAGAGTCTTCTAAACCTGCTTCTTGAACTTTGAGCTAGGGCAATCAGCCAGATGTCCATGTCTGTTGCTATGCTCCTCGAATGCTAAGTTGTCTTTGGCAGAACCACAAAAAGCTTTTGGATTGTTCAGCCTTGTCATAGCTTGTTTTGTTGTCCGAAGCACTTTTGCAGTGCTCAAATAAAAATACTCATACAAATGTGTTGTAAACGTGACTATTATTTTTTTCTTGAATGTTGCTTACATATATTAGAAGTTTATTTGTACCATCCTTTCAGCCTACTTTGTATAATCAAAAGTTATTTTAATCTAATGCAGCCAGTATTATGCTCCAGAAGCTGTTGCAAACCTTTATATTAAAAACTCTAACTATCATATCTGTTAGGTGTGTAATGAATATGCGATCTCTGCAGTTAGAACTCTTTTACTATAGATACTTTCAGTATTCAGAAACACAGTTCCTGTAATCATAATACTGACTGCAACTTCAGTAATGTGTTTTGAAAGAGGCTTTGGGCAGACAAATGAGTTTTTCCTACTTTGTCTCAAAGAGAAGAATGAACAGGGCCAAGGATGAACTAGAACTGGGTGCTCAGCCAGGTCACCAGAAACAACTAATGTTCCTGCCAAGGCTGAGCATGGAATACCAGTGCCAGTGACTGGCATCCATCTATTATGTGACACTGCTCTTTGGAGTTATATGTTTAATATCTGTTTGAAAGGCAGAGAAAATCATTGTAATATCAGAGTTTCTAAAACATTTTTGAAGCTTTAAGTGGTAATTCTGAAGCTATATGTTAGCAAACATGAGTTTTTAAGTATGTGTTGTAGTTCAGGACCAGGAAGCTTATGGCCTATGAGATGTTTTGCTCCAAAGTAGTTTAGTTAACAGGAATAATGGAAGTTGTAGTGCAGCAAAAGGTAGATGGCCACACATTCCCCATCCATGCAGTAAACATGGGATACTCAGCCACACAGAAGGAGTTTCTTTAATGCCTCCGTTTACTGATGTAGCCGTATGTCTTTCTCGTAAGATGTTCTGTGGATAATTGCTCAATATATCTCAATCAGGTGAAACTGGATCATATAATGACTTATGGCAGAGTTACAGCTTTTCAGAAAAGAGTGAAAAATCTATAGTTAATCCATAGAAGTGAGGAGGTTCTTGTGAGTACATGTGCTCCTCATTTCACAATCCATAAAAGTGAAAGTAAATAGTTGAGGGTGGGTAAATGTTTCCCATTTCAAATTTAGAGAAAATATGACTCAGGAATTAGATGCTTGGAATAGAATGACATTTAGTTTCAAGTTAAGGTCTGGAAACTCCCAGCCACTATCTCTCTGTCTGGAAAAGTGTAGCCCAAATTGTAACGCCTCTGGTCTCCATTTCAGATGTCAGCTGCATTCCCCAAACAATTTACTAGTCAGTTGTTCTCAACCTGGGGTCCCCAGATGTTTTTGGCCTCCAACTCCCAGAAATCCTAACAGCTGGTAAACTGGCTGGGATTTCTGGGAGTTGTAGGCCAAAAACATCTGGGGGCCCCAGATTGAGAACCACTTCAACACTTCTATGCTTTCTAATGAAAAAAACCCCTGCTCTTAGAAATGTTTTGTATGAATAATGGTTAAGACACCTGTAACTCTGAGTTTTTATCTTCTGTTTTATTTTTGCCTATACTTTCTGTGGCTACCTCAGGCACAGTAGTTTTGGATTTTCATAGCTCATCTTCTTCTGTCCTAGGGTTTGGGAGAGGCAAGCAGAATGATATAGTTGAAATAGTCATGTCTTAGAACATTGGTTCTCAACTTGTTTGTCCCCAGATGTTTTGGCTGGTAAACTGGCTGGGGATTTCTGGGAGTTGTAGGCCAAAACACCTGGGGACCCACAGGTTGAGAACTACTGTCTTAGGAGAACAGAAAACCCAGGCACTTGACAAACAGTAGGCAAAAAGAGAGGTTAAGGGTGACTGGATTGGCTGAGGGATAGGACTTAGAGGAGAGGAAAAGAGGGGGGGGAGGGAAGGAAAATGGCCAATTCAGAGAGGTGAATATGGTCAGAGATACAGAAGAGCACATTTCAAACATGTAGACAAATCTTTGGTTGCAAACCTTAACTACACATAATGATTTAGCTTTGCCTGGTCCCAGTGAGAACAGAGGGACAGTTTTTTGTGATCAGTTCCTGAAATGGACAATAATAGTTCAGAAAAATGAGAACAAGAGCTGCTGATCTCTGCGCTCTCCAGATTAAAACATTTCACAGCTGTAGTGTGGCAACTCAAAACAGATGCCTGCTGTGCGAAGGTATAATGACGTATGTTAATCGTATACAAACTGCTAAGTTCAAAAGGGAGAATAAACAGTATTGTAATGCCCTTTCCTGTTAGAGATGCATTTTGTCCCTAGGCAGCTCTGTTTCAAGGAAGAAAAGTTGCTGGTATCTCTGTGGTATCTTATTAACCTAAAAAGGTTTTAGCTAGCAGGATGTTTACCTCTGCCCAACAAGTATGGTTGAGAAGAACAGCATCTGACATGGAAATGGCAGAATGTTGAGGGTACTTTGAACGCAGTTTGCCTCCTTCTTGGCAGGGGGTTGAACTGGATGGCCCACGAGGTCTCTTCCAACACAATGATTCTAAGTTTCTAAGTTTCTAATGATTCTAAGTGACAGAAGATACTAAAAACCCCAACATTTCTTCATCAAATTCCTCTTTCCAAAGACAAGAACATTTTCTGGATTCATTCTGTGGATGCAGTTATGGACATAGTACAGTTGTGAAAAGTGTCTTCTGTAATAGCTTAAATAATTCACATTGGCCAGTATACCTTTTTGACCCAAAATGAGCACATTATTTCTAAAAGTAGTTGCAACCCAATATGGAAAAGCTTTCTGGCTTTGGTGCATACTTGTACTTTACCACTACCATGGGAGAGCCCCCGGTGGGACAGTGGGTTAAACCCTTGTGCCAGCAGGACTGCTCCCATCTGTCAGCTTCAGCTTCCCATACACTAGCATTCATACCCCAGCATCAATTCCACACCTAGATGTACAATTATTATTACGGTATACTACTACTGTGTGGTAGAACAGTTCCTGTCCCCCTCAACCAATCTCAGCAAAAACTTAAAGGGAAGTTCAGTATAGCTAATACTGTGTGTGTTGTGGGTTATAGTGAAACTGGTGGTTTTTTCCTTTGGCAGGAATGTCCTTAACCCCAGCGCATGTAATGGAGTTGACTGTACACTCAATTTTCAGAGTTTACCTCAAAATTTAGTTCATATTCTCAGCTGAAATGACCGTCAAGGTGTCAATCAAAAATAAGTGAGATTCTTCTGTATGGTCAAACCATTCATCCTCATTTTTTCTACTACTATTCATTAGGTTAAGCATTTAACATAATATTTTAATTCTTGAAGGAGCCCTAGGAAATACAGTGCTAAAAAGTAATGCTATTTGCTTTGGTTCTCCAGAGACAACTGAAGATTTTACTGCTCAGCAAGAATTATGTTTCCCTGACATGAACATAGCTCTAGTTACTATGCAACTAGTATACACGTATTAAAATGCATCATTCAGAAGTCTCACATAGGTGACAAATCAAGTGGATTATGTTAGCATTCAATTTAGTTTGTTCATTGTATTTGTTATATAAGTATTAAGGAGTCATCTCTGATTGTGTGACAATAATTTTCAGTGACCTTGCTTTTAAACTTGGACAGATTGAGCATCATAAAATGACTTTATCAGGCAAATATCACTTTTTACTTGCAGATCAATATTTTTCACACCTTAACAGTGTGCTATTGTTTCTTTTGTTGACATCATCCTTAGAAGCAAGCAATAATTCTTTTCAAAGATGGAGAAACCTGTTTATAAACATTGCTAGCTTGCTAAGCAAACAAGGACAGTCACCTGTCCACTCTTTTCTGCAAATGCCAGTTGTTTCCATGGAGTCAGCTGGGCAGACTATCAGTTCAATGTATCATGAAATGGACCCTGCTATTTCTTTAAAACATTGGTTTGACAGATCATCTACTCTTACAACCTGTTATTTGTTGCCGAACTCATAACCTGTAATCGCGTTCTTTAGAAAGTAACTTTCTGGTAGTAACAACAACAAAATGAAAAAAAAATGAGACTAGAAACACTGTAGCAGTTGTGGGTTGGATCTGGAGATGTCTGACCTTTAACTGGATAGTAGGACTTTCTTGGAATGGGGCATATGTTATATTAGAAAATGAAAAATGTTAGTTTGTGAAACTGAATAATATAAATATGTCAGATCATTTTCATGGAAGATCATGTACAAACTCTGAACATTTTCAATGTAACGTATCAATTACGTTATGCTGAAATGTCTTCTGTATACCACTGTTAGCAGAATATTACGCATCATTTAACTTTCTTTTCTCTTGCCTTGCAGCTTAGACGGAGATCGATACAGTTCTCTTTGAGGAGCCAGAAAGCAGGCAGCTCATGACTTCTGATCAGGACACTAAAGTTGTGGCTGAACCGCAGGTGCAGCAAGTACAAGAAGTTAAAGATAGTTCTCATCTAGTAAGTATAATGATAAAGCCTTGCATAAAGCTCAAATCTTTTAGGTGCCATTTGATACTCCCATGTCTTTCAACATTTGTCAAACCGTTTTCCAAAAGGCTTGCAGTGCGTTCTTCACACTGTTCATTATTATGTAGTTTTACCAAGTACAGCCAATTTCCAAGTTACAAACATCTGACTTACATATGATTCCTAGTTACAAATGGGGGTGAGAAAAAAGGAAGTGAAAGGAAATCTACCTCTCAGAAGGGAAAGTCACTCCTGTGGTAGATATCATGGGGAAAAGTTACCTCCACTGAAGCTTTATTACCAGTGCTTGTTTCCACAGCAACCCAAATTTTTCAAAATCCAATTGTCACAGGGATGGAAAGTGAAGCAAAATCTTCTGAAAAGGAACACATGACAGCAAAACAAACATTACAGGGGTGTAAACCCTTCCCTGTGCTATCCCAAACTAAAAAGAAATATTTTAACTTTTGGGAAAATGGCATTCATAACCTTTTTGAAAAGAAAAATGATGAAAATCTAGAGACCACCTTTTGAAAACCACTAGTTAAGGAAAGGCATGACCTTGTTAGAAATCAACTCATTGAAAAAGTGATGTTCATAAGCATTCATGTAAGGAACATAGGTAAATCAGCTGTTAAACTGACAAACCATGTCTTTGAACTGCCAGGGACAAAGATATGCCACTGCACTTAGCTAGCAGAGTTTTGAAAATGTTTCTTTGAAACTAAAGTTGAAATTGCAGTTGCCCAAAACATATATTCTCACTTGAAACCTCTTAGTTTAAAAATATGCACTCAGAGACAAAAAACAAAGTCTTCTTTTAAAAAAATAACATATCTTGTTTACTCATAGACATTTTGTATTAATTCAGCATACAGGCACATTTATAGATAGGATGTAGTTTTTCTGTGTTGAGAACACAGGGCATCGTTTTTAATCAATAGTCCAAAGTCTTTAAGTATATATCTCATAAAAGTCCAAACTGTATAGTTGTACTCACTGCTTTTCAAAGCAAACATATAGTAAACTGTTCTTGCTTAAGTCCAAATGACATCTACATCCATTGAAGTATAAAAGCATTCTGTATCCACCTCCACTGAGGTCTAAAGCGAACTGCTAACACTGAAGTCCAAAAGCATACTAATAATAACATGGAGTCTTGTGCCTGAACATGCTCAGTACAATCACATGTCTGTAGCCCCTCCCACATCAAAGAGGTCAGTCAAACTGGCAAATCAGTGTATAGATACAGTACACATTAGCAAATATATACATTAATAAACAAATAGTGAAGGTTTTGAAAGGTTCCTATTTCCAACATGGCTGGAGTTACACTTAAAATATTTATCTGTTCCAACTTACATACAAATTCAACATAAGAACAGACCTATGGAACCAATCTTGTTCATAACCCAGGGACTGCCTGTATATAAAATGGATGCAATCTTTTAGCTTTTGGTTGTGCTTGCCATACTTACCTGAAGTAGAAATAGCAGCATTGATTGTGTTGAGGGTAACCTGTCATGTAAGACAGACAAAGTTTTGAATACTTGAGAATTTATGTTGCTGCATAAAGTTTTCATTATTACAACAAGAGCATGTTCTGACTGTTTTTTCAGTCTCGCACAAGTGACATAAATTATATGTCCAGCAATACTTGTTATGTGTAGTGTAGATGCAATTTTAAATAAAAATAAGCAAGGTTTTAGGATCTATCTCTCCAAGAAATATGAAGAGCAGCATATTCTCACATAGGTAGCTTGTTTTTGCTTCTTTTCAGTTTAGTCTACCTTATACATTGAGAAAGATGACTGATGTATATGTTGTTCTACAGCAACTTTCTCCAAGATGGAATCCTCCCATTTTTTGGACCAAATTGCTTACAATTGACCCATACACACATGTTGAAAATACTGCTCCACTCCCCTTCCCTCCCCCAAAAGCAAAGTTTGATTTTATTGTTTTATATGAGATACACCATTTTACTTTGCCAGTGTACATAATGTGACCTAATCATCAATGGATTTTGGTATCCACATGAGTCCTGGAAACAAAGCCCAGCAGATACAATGGGCCTCTACTGTATATCAATCACCACTTACTGTGCTAGCTGAGTCTGATGGGTATTGTAGCCCAGAATGTCTGGAGGGGGCGTAGGTTTCAGAAAGGCTGATATGGGGTCACTGAAGATATTCTGTGACTAGAAATCACACAACTTAAGTCATTAAGTAATATTGGCAAGCATGGGATCAGCAGAGTGAATTCATATAATCTCTCTTGGCCTTAAAGCATTCAAACCTAGACTTTAGGATATGAAAACATTCATGGGATTTTAATTGAAGTTACCAATTTTACCTTAACGTAACTTTTTGTTACTTACGGTGATGATGAATATTTTCAAATCTTCAGTGCAGGCTCTTGAATTTAAGCCAATATGAGCATCAAAGAAGCAGCAGCATTTAGTTCTTCCTGCACATACTGGGTAATACTCAGAAAATACAAAAAACAAATGGCAAAGCATTGCATATTATCCATCTTCTTCCTTGGAACATGGGAACAACACCTTGGATAACCCAGTGAAGACATCCAACTCATTATCTAGGGGTAATGTTGCCCAATGTATAATTTAGGCTAGAAAGTTGGCACTGAGAACTGCAAACTCATCCTAGTCAGATTGCAGCAAAACTTGCTTAGCAGTTTTGTCCAAGTTACATCACATGCAATGGATCTTTCATTGATTTTGTGGTCTTTCTCTACTACGTATGCTGAATTGCCCTAGGTGTTGTGGATAAAACAGGATTTCTTTGTTAACGATTGCAACATAGGATACTATAAATTACAAGCTGAACATTGCAAACAAGATATTATTTTCCTCTTCTGCCATCAAGACAAGGGATTATGTCGTTTTTGTATGTAGTGCTTTGTAAAATGTTGATGTTATGGATTTAATTTGAGTAGAAATCTCATATTAATTCTGTTTATCAAATTTATTTCCTTATTTTTCTGTTTATTTATGCCCTGCTTTTTCTCTTTGAGGAGACTCAAAGTGGCTGTCAGTTGAGTGTGCAGTATGCAACAGGTTAGGCATGCAGGTGCCCTCTATTTAAGAATTCAGTCAGCATTCAGTGTAGTTTTCTCACAAGGCCTGCTGATGAGCATAACAAATTGTTCAGAACTGAAAGAAATGAGGGTGCTCCCAATCCATAATATGTAGCTATAAGCTACATTGTTTGGAGTGTGTATGATAATGAGGCTAAGGCATTCTCAGTAACTGTGCTTTGGGTTTTGAGTGGCAATAGCACATGAGCCCCCTGCACTGTTTAAACAGTACTATTTTTGGCATCTGGGTGTTGGCTTGCCTCCCCAGCAGCCTTAGTGAAGTGGATATAGGCAGAAAGAAGCTTACAGTTCCAGGAATTGCAGAAGAGAACTGGAAAAAATGGGTTGCTGTTTCAGTGATGAGCTGAATAACAACAAAAATGAGAAAATGAGCCTGCTGCAAAAACCTACAAAAGAGGAAGCCTCTGAAAATGGGATAAGTACAACTTTAACTTCAATTTTGGAGACCTTGGAAAGGCAGGAACTGCATGTAATGCAAGAGACAGCTTGTGGAGAAGCTGCTTATGACAACTGCATGGATTCAGTTAGATGTCATTCAAACTATGGCGTGGAGATTGCTGAAGGTGGCCATATTAGCAGTAGATCTTCTAACCATCTGCTTGATGTGAAAAGGGTCTTGAGTTTGGAAGACTGTGAACCAGTACTAGATGTGGCTGGTGAAAGACTCGTGGCAAATATCAATGGTCATGCTCAATATATGAATAATGGAGGCAGCTATCATATTAATAGTGAAACTGGAGCTACCGTAGTTAAAAATGCATTCTGTGCATATGAACGTCCATCCGCTTCATGTGTGCCTGGCGATTTTAGCCAAAGTAGTTTCTTCCCCAAAGCTTTAAACACATACGTTATAAAAAACAACACAGTTATGGATGAGTGCTTACTACTGCAAGGTGAATTGGAACCTGTTAAAAGTAATTGCAATTCAGTAATTTCAAGCAGAACTAATACAGAAACAGCAGCTTCGGCTTTTGCATATCTTGATATAGACAGACATCACAGAAGCACCAGAAATGAGTTCTACAGTATTTGTGTAGTTGATGACGATGTTAGAATTGATGCAGAAGAAGGGCAAGAAATGTTCAGTAAGGCTTTGCCTCTAGACAATGTGAAAGAATTCCGAATTCAGAAGCCAGTACAGGTGCCAAGTGACATCAACACCCTGAAAGATGCATCTTACAACATAAAAGGAAATGTTTTCATGCCAAAAAGTGAAACAGAAATAAAAACTTCTGTTGGCTTACAAAATGGGGTCCACAGATTAAACTCTGATAGTCTACAAGCAGATGGTCTAAGGGCACAAGCACATGCTGAGGAAAGTCCTCAAAATAGCACTCAGGAAATGGATATGCTAGATAGTGGAATCTTTGTGAATGAATCAGTTAGAGAAAACAGTGATTCTCCAACACCTGTGCATATAGAGAAGAACATGCAATATTCTCTGCTGTTGCAAAATATGACCTGTGCATGTCGTTCCACTCTCGATAATGGCCCTAACTATGAAACTAATTCTCTACCATTTGGATTCAGTGAAAATCTAAATATTGCAGCTGGAGAAAACTTGGAACTATTAGTAGGAAATCCAGAGTTCACATCAGAAGATTACAAAATTCCCAGTGTCTTAGATGTTGCAAATCCAAGTAGTTCAGAAGACCAAGAAAATAATCTAAACTTGAAAAGTAGACAAGGCTTCACGGGGCATGCAAATACATTTTGGGCCATATCTGCTGGTTGTGATGAAGGAACACCCAACTATTCTGAACAAAATACTCATAGCCTAGAACAGCCCTTGAAAAATGAAGGTGCTTCACATTTTGAAACTTTCTGCAGCCATGAAAATATATCAGACAGCAATATTAAAATGCTTTCAG